TGGATGTGCCATTGAACCCACAAGTTAAACTTTTTGCAGGGTCGTTGCAAGCAACCCGCACCGCCTCAGAAACCCTGCCCAAAGCGTTCAATCTGGCAAGAAATGCGCCTTCCCTTCGCCAACGGCACCCCAAGCAGCGTCCCAAAACAGCACCTGCGCCAGCACCAAACTGCATGGGCTAGCACCCTAGGGTCAATCTTGCAAGACTGCCCGCATGCCCCCTAGCACCCAACCGTCTATCTGGCAAAAATGCCAGCACCGTCACCAGCACCCACAAACAGCGCGCCGCCGTCAGCACCACAAACAGCTCCCCGAACAGCACACCGTAACAGCATCTGCACCACCCCCAAACTGCACAGCCCCTAGCACCCAGCCGTCAATCTCGCAAGTCACTTTCCCCTTTTTCATAGGAGTTAGAAGCCCTCTATCTTTCAGCCATTTGGGGGAACTATACTTTCAACCATGGTTTTATTTCGCTTTTTTTGTTTCTTTCTCTTTTTCTTTTTTTTCGCTGGTTTTGTGTTTTCCGTAAAAAATATATATAAAAAACATATTTTTACGGAGCTCGCACCCATCCACCGTAAAGACGTGGCCTCGAGTGGAATCGGGGGAGTCGCCAGGCGAAGCACTGGTGGATTCCTTGCTGCCAAGGCGGGCGGGGGGGGTGGTGGGTGAAGCGCGAGCGAAGGCGCGCCGGAGGCGCCTGCCTGGTGTGCGGCCCTTTTCAGGTTGGTTTCAAAAAGGGACAACGGGGGTTGGCCGAAGCCCGACATGTGGGGACCACTTGCCGAGTTGGGCACGTCGTGTCTTCTTTTTTTTTGGTAAGAAACATCGAACCCCCAAAATGGGCGGGTGTCCTCTTGGTTTACCTTTAACACCACAAGAACGGTGATGTCCTGGAAAGAAGACAGACCTATTTTTACACAACATGGAAACCCAAGGCCGGTTTGGTTGAGGGTTTAAATGCGGCCAATTTGGGACGCCCCCGTGGGTTCCCGAATTGGGGGGACCAGGTGGGTGTGTTCCTTTTGGTTTCCCGTCTAAAACGGGGTCCGATTCCGATTTTGAGAACCCCCCCCCCCCATACTGTGGATGGCCGAAATCCTGCACCACCTAAGAAACCCTGGAACAATGATTTGCCTGAAAATACCAACAAACAACGGTTTCCCATAATTTCAACATGGTGCAGGAATTCGTCCATCAACAGTATGAATCCACCGGGGTTACCGCCTGACGCCGTTTCCCCACCTCGAGGCTCTCCCTTGAGGCCGTGCGCGAAGACTTGGATGGGCGATGGGAGGAGGCGGGGGGTCAGGGGCCAAAAAGGGGCGACCGACCGAACGCAAACGGAGGGAGCCTTTCTTGGGTTGATATGGGGATCGTCCACGTCCATGGAATTTGTGGCAACATATGGATGTGTCTTTCTTTGAGGTTGCCCCTTGTGGGAGGCTTGAAAGGGAGGCCAATCGTTGTGGGGGGGGTTCCATTTTGAGACAAATCCCTTTGTTCTTCAGCAAGTTGGTGCGTCTTGTTAATTAGGTGCCAAATAGCATTTTTTTAGTTTTTCCCAAGAAGGGTGATGGGCATTTGTTTTTCTCCAGACCCCCTTTTGATACCCAGTCAGGCAAAGAATGAGATTATGAGCCGATATCGAGATGAGCAGTTGCTTCCCGAAAGGGTGTCGCCCTCAGACAAGCCTTGGTTTCACCTTTTGATTTAAATCTCATTGTGGGGTGTGTCTTTTCTTTGGGGAGAGAACCCCCTTAAAATTGTGTTTGTCCTTTTGGTTTCCCTTTTAAAGCCAACCAAAAGGGGGGTACCCTCCAAAAACAGGCACACTCATTTCGCCTTGTTCTAGAGTGGTGATTTGGATTGGTTGGAGGTTTCGGGATGAGCTCTTAGCTTGCATGAGGGACCCAATTTCTAGCAATGCCCACCAGATGCATGCCATCGAGAGGTGAGTGGTGGACTGGTCCAGAAGCTGCTGCGCGATGCAGAGGACGCGACTGGTGCGGGTAGAACAAAAATGTGACACTTTCCTAGGGGTTGATTCCTTTTCCATTCTTTTCAACCATCGTTCTTTTCAAACAACCAACTATTTTCCCTGGGTTTCCGGAGGTTTTCTAGAAAGAAGGATCCCTGGAAAGAATGGGGAAGGTACCCCTTAGATTTTTTTCATTGGCTTGCCCTTTTCCCAACCATTGGACGTTTGGACCTTTTCAAGAGTGTCCCTTTTCAACCAGCAAACACTGGTCGGAGCCGTCTGCATTGTAGTTGCAATAGCAGTTTAGATGCAACAGCGCTTTGGTGGAAAACGCCTCAGCTTTGCGCAGGGGTTCTTTCAAAGATGCGTCCAGGGATCTCTTGCTTTGCAAGTCATTCTTTGACATAGCCCGAATCTTTATTCGAGGAGCTCTTTTGATCTATACGTAAGTCATGCGTTTGTTGCACCATCTGACTTTGAGCTCCCACTTCAAGGATGTCTGCTGGAGGGCCCTCA